CTAAACAAACAGAATCTAAACAAACAAACAGAATCTAAACAAACAGAATCTAAACAAACAAACAGAATCTAAACAAACAGAATCTAAACAAACAAACAGAATCTGAACAAACAAAATCTAAACAAACAGAATCTAAACAAATAGAATCTAAACAAACAAACAGAATCTAAACAAACAGAATCTAAACAAACAAACAGAATCTAAACAAACAAAATCTAAACAAACAGAATCTAAACAAACAGAATCTAAACAAACAAACAGAATCTAAACAAACAGAATCTAAACAAACAAACAGAATCTAAACAAACAGAATCTAAACAAACAGAATCTAAACAAGCAAACAGAATCCAAACAAACAGAATCTAAACAAACAGAATCTAAACAAACAAACAGAATCTAAACAAACAGAATCTGAACAAACAGAATCTAAACAAACAGAATCTAAACAAACAAACAGAATCTAAACAAACGAACAGAATCTGAACAAACAGATTGTAAACAAACAGAATCTAAACAAACAAACAGAGTCTAAACAAACAGAATCTAAACAAACAAACAGAATCTAAACAAACAGAATCTAAACAAACAAACAGAATCTAACCAAACAGAATCTAAACAAACAAACAGAATCTGAACAAACAGAATGTAAACAAACAGAATCTAAACAAACAGAATGTAAACAAACAGAATCTAAACAAACAGAATCTAAACAAACAAACAGAATCTAAACAAACAGAATCTAAACAAACAGAATCTAAACAAACAGACTCTAAACAAACAAACAGAATCTAAACAAACAGAATCTAAACAAACAGAATGTAAACAAACAGAATCTGAACAAACAGAATGTAAACAAACAGAATGTAAACAAACAGAATCAAAACAAACAGAATCTAAACAAACAGAATCTAAACAAACAGAATCTAAACAAACAAACAGAATCTAAACAAACAGACTCTAAACAAACAAACAGAATCTAAACAAACAGAATCTAAACAAACAGAATCTAAACAAACAAACAGAGTCTAAACAAACAGAATCTAAACAAACAAACAGAATCTAAACAAACAGAATCTAAACAAACAAACAGAATCTAACCAAACAGAATCTAAACAAACAAACAGAATCTGAACAAACAGAATGTAAACAAACAGAATCTAAACAAACAGAATCTAAACAAACAGACTCTAAACAAACAAACAGAATCCAAACAAACAGAATCTAAACAAACAGAATCTAAACAAACAAACAGAATCTAAACAAACAGAATCTGAACAAACAGAATCTAAACAAACAGAATCTAAACAAACAAACAGAATCTAAACAAACAGAATGTAAACAAACAGAATCTAAACAAACAAACAGAATCTAAACAAACAAACAGGATCTAAACAAACAGAATCTAAACAAACAAACAGAATCTAAACAAACAGAATCTAAACAAACAGAATCTAAACAAACAGAATCTAAACAAACAAACAGAGTCTAAACAAACAGAATCTAAACAAACAAACAGAATCTAAACAAACAGAATCTAAACAAACAAACAGAGTCTAAACAAACAAACAGAATCTGAACAAACAGAATGTAAACAAACAGAATCTAAACAAACAGAATGTAAACAAACAGAATCTAAACAAACAGAATCTAAACAAACAAACAGAATCTAAACAAACAGAATCTAAACAAACAGAATCTAAATAAACAAACAGAATCTAAACAAACAGACTCTAAACAAACAAACAGAATCTAAACAAACAGAATCTAAACAAACAGAATCTAAACAAACAAACAGAATCTAAACAAACAAACAGAATCTAAACAAACAAACAGAATCTGAACAAACAGAATGTAAACAAACAGAATCTAAACAAACAAACAGAATCTAAACAAACAGAATCTAAACAAACAGACTCTAAACAAACAAACAGAATCTAAACAAACAGAATCTAAACAAACAGACTCTAAACAAACAAACAGAATCTAAACAAACAGAATCTAAACAAACAGACTCTAAACAAACAAACAGAATCTAAACAAACAGAATCTAAACAAACAGAATCTAAACAATAATTCCCCAACACGCCGTTACTCCCTCAGACGCCTGTTGGTGGCGTTTTCCAAACTGCAGCTTTGTGGAGGTTTCTCTCTGATCTTTAGTCCGGCTGCTGGACGGTCAGATCACCTCGTGTCCCGGTGAACGGCGAGCTGCTGGACGGTCAGATCACCTCGTGTCCCGGTGAACGGCGAGCTGCTGGACGGTCAGATCACCTCGTGTCCCGGTGAACGGCGAGCTGCTGGACGGTCAGATCACCTCGTGTCCCGGTGAAGGGCGAGCTGCTGGACGGTCAGATCACCTCGTGTCCCGGTGAAGGGCGAGCTGCTGGACGGTCAGATCACCTCGTGTCCCGGTGAAGGGCGAGCTGCTGGACGGTCAGATCACCTCGTGTCCCGGTGAACGGCGAGCTGCTGGACGGTCAGATCACCTCGTGTCCCGGTG